TAAGCCTGCGTGTATCTGAAATAAAACAAAGGGCGCTTTGTAATCAAAACGTATCTGGAACTGAAAAAACTGGCGTCCAGTCGCATACGCACTATAGCGATAAACTTTATTTTATAAAACAAAGAAAGCTCAACTTGCTTTTAAAATAATATATTTCTGTGTAGTTAAAACTATAAATAATTTTCCTATAAATCTTATAATTCTAATAAATTCTCTATTATAGAAAATCAAAATATGACAGGAATGTCATCAAGACAATAATCATCCTGTATGGAAATATGGCTAGAATGCCAGTTAAAACAACGAACATTCGCCTAAATATAACAAATTACGACTCTATTGCCAACGCATATATTGTTTGCGTTAAATATATTTATATATTTTACAATAAAAGTAGGCAAAATATTAATTCCAAATTAAAATAATATTAATGATACTATTCCATCATTTTATTTACCTTCTAACTCTGATGACTCTGAAGAAAAATCTTCACTATCACTAGCTAATTTTTTTTTTCGATACGACTGAGAGTTTCTTTAATGGATTTTAACTGATTAAAATATTTTCGTTTTTCCCGTATCCTTGGCATCGTAACAACACTCTTTTAAACCAACTATACGCGACGGCACAAAAAAATGAACTGATTAAGGACCGATGGGTCGCCTCCAGGGCCGAAGCTGAGGATGTTTGTTTACATTACACATTCTTTCGAACCACTTTGTGCGCGGAATAGGAAAAGTGATACCTACCAAAAGCTATCATAGAAGGACGGAGATGCGAAGAATAATACAACACATTTAATCAACTATAAACCACAAATAATGCGTCAGGAAACTTTAATAAACACAGACAGCATTGAAACGAGCGTGCTGAAGTGTCTCATCACACTGGCGCAACCTTTAGCGGTCCGTGCTTATCCTCCCAAAAATAAATCAATTTTGTATATATAATCATATTTCTAACCATATAGTTTTTCTCATGTTTTGGTGGATGAATGACAAAATATTATTGTCATATTTTAATTACTAAAAACAACTTTATTTATTTAAATCGTAGCGTAGTTTTTTAAAATCGTAGCGTATCTAAAGCGTAGTTTACACGGGCAAGTAAATTATCGCAAGTATATGTCTGATAGCACTTCTACCAAACTTGCATAATTTAAACAGTATCCGAAAGCACTCTCTTAGGAAGTCACAAAACTGGCGGGGAAGTGGTTGCGACGAAAGACGCTTGTAAGTGTAAACAGGTTGGGAGAGGGCTCTGGCAAGGTAAAATTTATTTCCGTCTTGTTGAAAGTTTTTGGTGTAAGTGATTTTCGAAGGCGTGTTAAAAACGATATTAAAATGGAGTATGTGGTCGAAAGAAGATACATTTTGATTAATTTATTTAAAGGATATCCTTAATTGTGGCAAAAAAATCGAAAATTTACAGAGATAGAGCTAAAAAGCAAAAAGCAATCAAATTTATAGCTGACAAATTCAACACAACTGAGGCTGAGATTCAAAGGAAGCTACATAATATTCATACACAAGCAAACCAGGAGTGGAACAAAATTATAAAAAGAAAAAGTAAAATCGACTTCTGAAATTCGCAGAAAATTGGTTAAATGCTTTGGGTCTTCATTTCTTATTTTTTTAATAACATCGCGTACGCTCCAAGACTAGGCCTTCTGGCAATCCATTCTTTAACCCTTATTCTTTTTCTAGATTTTCTTGACTGTTTGCGTAAAATTGCAACAAGAAAAGCAGTGGCTGCAGCTCTCTTTTTACGGCGTTAAGCGTAGTTTACACGGGCAAGTAAATTATCGCAAGTATATGTCTGAGAGCACTTCTACCAAACTTGCATAATGTAAACAGTATCCGAAAGCACTCTCCCAGCAAGTCACAAAACTGGCGGGGAAGTGGTTGCGACGAAAGACGCTTGTAAGTGTAAACAGGTTGGGAGAGGGCTCTGGCAAGTTAAAATTTATTTCCGTCTCGTTAAAAGTTTTTGGTGCAAGTGATTTTCGAAGGTGTGTTAAATAACGATATTAAACTGGAGTATGTGGTCGAAAGAAGATACCATCACTTTGATTAATTTATTTGAAGAATTTCCTTAATTGTGGCAAAAAAATCGAAAATTTACAGAGATAGTAAAAAGCAAAAAGCAATCAAATTTATAGCTGACAAATTCAACACAACTGAGGCTGAGATTCAAAGGAAGCTACATAATATTCATACACAAGCAAACCAGGAGTGGAACAAAATTATAAAAAGAAAAAGTAAAATCGACTTCTGAAATTCGCAGAAAATTGGTTAAATGCTTTGGGTCTTCATTTCTTATTTTTTTAATAACATCGCGTACGCTCCAAGACTAGGCCTTCTGGCAATCCATTCTTTAACCCATACTCTTTTTCTAGATTTTCTTGACTGTTTGCGTAAAATTGCAACAAGAAAAGCAGTGGCTGCAGCTCTCTTTTTACGGCGTTAAGCGTAGTTTACACGGGCAAGTAAATTATCGCAAGTATATGTCTGAGAGCACTTCTACCAAACTTGCATGATGTAAACAGTATCCGAAAGCACTCTCCCAGCAAGTCACAAAACTGGCGGGGAAGTGGTTGCGACGAAAGACGCTTGCAAGTGTAAACAGGTTGGGAGAGGGCTCTGGCAAGTTAACATTTATTTCCGTTTTGTTAAAAGTTTTTGGTGCAAGTGATTTTCGAAGGTGTGTTAAATAACGATATTAAAGTGGAGTATGTGGTCGAAAGAAGATACTATCACTTTGATTAATTTATTTGAAGGATTTCCTTAATTGTGGCAAATAGATCGAAAATTTACAGAGATAGTAAAAAGCAAAAAGCAATCAAATTTATAGCTGACAAATTCAACACAACTGAGGCTGAGATACAAAGGAAGCTACATAATATTCATACACAAGCAAACCAGGAGTGGAACGAAATTATAAAAAGAAAAAGTAAAATCGAGTTCTGAAATTCGCAGAAAATTGGTTAAATGCTTTGGGTCTTCATTTCTTATTTTTTTAATAACATTGCGTACGCTCCAAGACTAGGCCTTCTGGCAATCCATTCTTTAACCCATATTCTTTTTCTAGATTTTCTTGACTGTTTGCGTAAAATTGCAACAAGAAGAGCAGTGGCTGCAGCTCTCTTTTTACGGCGTTACATTTTTCTATTAAACAATATACTTGTGCAATATACACCATACCGTGTATACGTGCATGCAATTTCTTGCTCAAAGCATATACCTAGACAGTACTTGTTGCAAGAAATTGCTTTAAAATTTGCTTAAATGTAAACACTATCGCAAGTTACTCTAGCAAGTTCTATCGCAATTTTCTATCCCGTGTAAACTACGCTTTACATTTTTCTACTAAACAATATACTTGTGCAATATACACCATACCGTGTATACGTGCATGCAATTTCTTGCTCAAAGCATATGCTTAGACAGTACTTGTTGCAAGAAATTGCTTTAAAATTTGCTTAAATGTAAACACTATCGCAAGTTACTCTAGCAAGTTCTATCGCAATTTTCTATCCCGTGTAAACTAGGCTTAACACGGCCAATTCTGACACGGACTTCGCTCTCGAAGTCATTCTATTCGGAATCGGCTATTGAATATCAGGAAGGAATTATTCATTGCTATCCACCAAATGTGATATTCTGAGTAGTCAGTTGTTCTTATAGGAATTGGTATCTTAATAAACTCTCAATTTTTTGCATTTTGAATAAAACAAATTGAGAAAAATAGAAACAAACATAACAAATGCAACTGTTTTCTTCAGGATCATTCATTTATTCATTATGTTTAATTTTCCTAATACTTTAATAAAATAAAAACATAACGCTTGCTGAGAATGACCCAATAACAGAATATGGCATGTATAACATAATGACTAATTTAGCCAAAACAACAAAACAAAACTATTTTAACCTGCAAGAAATATGTAAAAAAACAACAGCAGCCTTGCAAACAAAAGCGACAATATTTATCACTTCGCCTGTATAAATACCGATCAATATTTTTTTCTTGACAAAAACTTTCCTGTATTGCTATTTGTTATGCAATTAAAAAAACTTATTCAGAATTAAAATTTAAACGGTGTGTCTAATATTTTCAACCAACCATTCTGTACCAATATATTTACCAGTAATAAACAGATCATTAAAACTTATTCAGACAATTTCAGACCACAAAAACTTAATTAAACTTAAATCGCTATGAAATAATGCAGAAAATACTTGTCTTAATAACCATCACTGTAATATTTCCCTCCGTAACTTTATACAGGCTATCTGTTTGGGCTCTAAAACTGCTAAATGTTCCAACTGCTTAATATAAACGCTGCAATGCTCAATCTAAATGCGGCAATGCTTCTGAGTTTTGCAACATGACGCCGTGACTCATTTTCTTTAAAAATTTACTTTATTATACTCAACTGATTAACTGAAATATTAACTTTTCGTACTCTTCCAAAGCCACAAACAGGCAACTAATAATTTCGATTTGTAAACCTAATTAGAACCTGTGTACTTATTATTATTGTGGTATAAGCTCTATCCCACTTCTGATTTTAGCAATTAAATAATAATAACACACAACCTTTTCGATACACTACAATTCAACACATTTAATCAACTATAAACCATAAATAATACGTCAGGACGTCAGGAAACTTTAATAAACACAGACAGCATTGAAACGAGCGTGCTGAAGTGTCTCATCACACTGGCGCGACCGACAGCGGTTCGTGCTTATCATCCCAAAAATAAATCAATTTTGTTTATATAATCATATTTCTAACCATATAGTTTTTCTCATGTTTTGGTGGATGAATGACATAAATGACATAAAATATTATTGTCATATTTTAATTACTAAAAACAACTTTATTTATTTAAATAAAACCATTTTTACTCAAATAAATAAAGCGATCAGTAGTAAAGTAGTACTTTACTAATTTGTTCTATAGAGCCTATTTATTTAGGTATTTTTTTTAGGTATGTTAACAGCCAGTCTGTTTTTCTTCAAGATAGCAGAATTTTTAGGAAGAAAGAAGGCCGTTATGAGTTTAGCATTGCCGCATCTCATTTCTTGGATTATTACCATATTTGCAAGAAGTAAATGGGAATTTTACGCTGCCAGAATAATGGCAGGGATAGCTGATGCTTGTATGTTCTGCTCCGTTCCTCCTTATGTAGGAGAAATTTGTACTCCCGAAGTTAGAGGATTTTGGGGTAATGTTCCAACATTTATCCTCTACGTAGGTCAAGTTTGTATCACAATTTTAGGTAGGTAAATTATTGTATGAACATAGGCCAATTTACGGTCTATGATAAGTTCGCTGTTAGGCAGAGAACGAATGATTTTTGAAAACTTGGACTTTGAGACAAACCAACTACTCTATCGATATATATTATTTCCAGCTTTTAACTTGCAATGTTGCTGCTTAAAAATTAGTAGCTTTGTTATTTTAAAACTTTTTTAAGGAAAATATTAAGAATTTGAAAAATAAGCCAGCTACTTTTCAAATTAAACGGCAACACTGTAATGCTTTATACTAGGGCTGGCATTTCTGGTCTTGAGTGCCGATTTTCGTGTGTACGAAGAGTACGGTCAACACGCATAGCAAAATAAGATGTATCTACTGAATAAAGAGAGAAGACAAGTATTTTCCGAAGCGCATGGAATCTAGCGTCAGATTAAGTAGTTATATAATAAATACTTCGTATTTTTGCTCACTCCGATTTACTAGATTGCCATAGCGATTCACTCCTATACATGTAAACGCCGACCCAAGGTTTCGCTTGCCAGCAGGGTATAATTTATATCGACGGAGTAGGACAGCTGGCATTATGTAGGCATCCAAATTCTCAAAAAGTTTTTTCACTGCTTCTTCATGACTAACTTATCATCACTCCGAATCATCTTGCATATATTTAAAACTAATTTTTATATGTTCTAGGCAGCTATCTGAGTGTTCAAACTACTGCATATATTTGTATGACGGTCCCTATTATATTTGTGGTACTGGTATCGATTTTACCAGAATCACCTTACCAGTTGATAAAGGATGGCAAATATGATGAAGCTAAGAGTAGTATAATGTGGCTCCAGAGAAAGGAAAATGTAGAACATGAATTTGTTGCTATGAAATTTGATGTCGAGAGACAAACATCTGAAAGTGCGAGATGGAGAGATCTGATATTTATTGAGAGCAACAGGAAAGCTTTGCGGGCGGGTACCTTTTTACGATTTTCTCAACAACTTAGCGGAGTGGCTGTATTTGCATCATATACTCAACCTATTTTTGAAAAAGCCGGAGGAAGTATTAGTCCTCAAATATCTTCTATGATATTCCTTGGATTAATTGCGGTTTTGAATTTGTTTTGTAGTTTTGGTGTTGATAGATTTGGCCGAAGGCTTTCATATTTTTACTCGATACTTATCTGTGGGTTTATCTTACTTGGTATGAGCCTTTATTTTATATTTGATCAATACCAATTTATAGACGTAAGTTCTTTGAGTTGGTTTCCACTGGCGGGGATGTTATCATGGACTGTATGTTACTCTTTCGGTTTAGGTGTAGTCCCTACGTTAATGTTGGGAGAACTTTTTTCTGTGAGTATAAAATCTAAAGGTCTGTGTATTTTGATCGTATTTTTTGGTTTGTCGGTATTTCTAACTACAAACTTATTTCATCTTTTCACATCAAATATTGGTATGTTTAGTCCTTATATGATATACGGTTTATGTTGTTTAGTATCAGCATTTATAACTCTTAGATGGGTGCCGGAGACGAAAGGAAAAACGTTAGAAGAAATTCAGCAAAGTTTGAAAAAGGGCTATTGACTTTTGTCGTTCTCATGTACGTGTACGATTGTACATAATTTTATTATTGTCTTGTTATCTTTATAATTTGATTATTTGGTCTTGAGTAGTCTTGTTTATACAGGGTGGTCCGAACTGTATTCCGGAAATTTCGGCAGCATATTCTGCAGATAAAAATAAGTAAAAATGTTCGTATAAATGTATATCCTAAAATAATTAGTTTCGGAGATACAGGATGTAGAATTTTCAATTTTATTTCAATTTTTTCCAAATAATTTCTGAAATATCCTCAATATATGGATGAAAATTGGTGTCTAGGAGTTTTTTGACATGAGAAATTTGGGATTTTGATGTCAATATGACTCTTACTAGTAGAGGGCACTACCTACATGCGTTTTAACTGTATTGAAGCGTAATAACTTTTTGTCCGTGCCTGTATAAAACTACCGAGCGAAAAAATATCTGTGATTTTTTACGTAAAAAAATGTCTCTTGGTAAAAGTCGCTACGAGCAACCGTTCTCAAGATATTTAGAATGGAAATAGTCAATACATGTCATTATTGACGAAAAATAAACACGTTGAGTAGATAGTTATTTCACTGAAATAATAAATTTGGGAAATTTTTATTTTTTTAAATTAATCATAAATTTTTCTGCAAAACATATAATGATAAAACAGTTTCTGTTGAACTTTTGGCACAAAAACATTTCAAATTTATGATTTCAGTCTAATAACTATTTAGTCAACATGTTTAATTCATGTCAATGATGACAAGTATTGATAATTTCGATTCCAAATATCTCGAAGACCATTACTCATAGCGATTTTTACCAAGAAACCTTTTTCACGTAAAAAAAACATCGTAAATGTATATTTTTTTACTCAGTAATTTTATACAGGTGCGGACGAAAAGTTATTACTCTTCAAACCAGTTTAAAAATATGCAGGTGGCGCCCTCTGCAAGTAAGAGTCATACACATAAAAATTAAATTTCTACACCCTGTATCTCCGAAACTAAGCCATTTTAGGACATACATTTATACGATTTTTTTTACTTATTTTTATCTGCACAATATGTTGCCGTAGTTTCCGGAATACAGATCGGACCACCCTGTATATATTTTTTATATGTGTAAAACGAACGTATATAAGAATATAAATTATTTCGGGTTTGTATGGCAATGTGATATATTAAGGGGATAATGCGTCAATTTGTATATATTTATTTTAACTTAAGTTTATATATAGGTGTATATAAATCAGCAAAATTAATTTAATCTACTATGTGATAATCATTTAAGCCACTCCGCGTATTTTTAATTATAATTATAACAATTAAGAATAATTATCAGATATCTTGCTGGGAAATGACGATCGATGACATTTACCATGTAAATTTACATATAAAATGACAGCGATCTTTATGTTATATACGTATGGTACTATTCTTGGTGCTATCTACACAGTCTATATCAATGTATATACTATAGGAGATATATATATTTTTTAATTTTATGTACAACGTACCTAGTCAGTGAATTAATTTATATAAAATGTTAAAATAAATTTTAAGTGGAAATTATCAGGTCTTTCATTTTAAAGTTTTATACTCGTATATCTGAGCAGTATTTTTCTAGTAGGCTAGGCTCAAGGCTAGGCTAAGCGCAAATTGAGTTGCGTATATCGTGTGTGGCATGACCTGACGCGACGCTCCGGCGCCGCACGCGCCGCCTGGTGGTCCTCAAACTGAGACGCAGTTTTCCATTGATTCGCCTCTGCTACAGTATAAAAACGTCTGCATAATTCGCCATCGAAATAATTATGGTTACTAAACTTTAGTTGTGAATCAGAATCAGATGATTCCGAAGAAAATCTTTTACTGTATTCAGTATCAAAAATAACGTACGCGAATACGAAGCACGCGACGCGCGGGAAACTGTGTTTGAGCTACCAGGACGCGAGCTGGCCAGGTCACGAGAGTCGCGCTGCGCTGTCCCATTTATTTCTGTAGTTAACAAAAACTCGCGTCCCGCCAAGTTATGTCACACGCGATGTATGCGACTCAATTTGCATTTAGCCTAAATTCTTAAATATTATTGTTAAATAGTTTCCACACTACTAACGAACTAAGCCAAAGTGGGCTGAAGAGGATTATTTCGTGTTTCCTCGTCTAATTTTACCTTCTCTCGGTTTATTTTGATTTAAAACGTGTCTACACTACTCGTGAAATTGCTGAGAATGATAGTGGAGGGAGGTGATACTCGGTTGTCTCGTTGTTTCAACCAGTTTCGTTTCTTAAACGATTTGTCTTAAACGATTTCCATTTCGTATCGGCTTTTTAGCCCGAGTCAAAGGACTTATTTTATTAAAGCTCAGAGAAATAGGTAAACATAGACGCTTCTAAAATATCTGTTGTTACAATGTGACATATTTTAATTATATTTCCTTATAATAAACGTCTATCGTCCCAATGTAAGTTCATTTTAATGAATATCCGCCAATGATGGAATAAAAGGCACAATATCCTCACAACCCATGATACAAAGAAAACAAGGTATGATCGATAACGGCTCCAGTTTCGTTCATATTTCACCTGTGACGTCTCTACGCCACATATATTGTTCAATTGCCACTAGGTAATAAACAAAGACCTGAAATAGGGAAGAATTAGGACATAACCTCAAAAGTTATGTCAAATCATTGAGCTTGACAAGTGAAAAATCATTTTCACATTTATTATATGTCATCAGTCTGACGATTTGAAATTGGCGCGCGGAGCGTGTTAAATGAGTTGAAATAAAAAATTAATTCTCTACCATTTCGGAAAGTTTTATTATAATAAAATAAAGACGCACGAAATTCTCGTTAAAACTTTTTTACTATAGAGAAATTTTGTATCGCTATAATGGATTTCAAGATTTATTTAATATATTGGCTAAAATGCAGATTAAATCTGCTACGTTAATTTCTGGATATGTGGTATTAATCTAAGGTATTAATCTTTTAACAATGAGCGACATATAATAAACTCAATTCATCTATCTAATTTTGAAACTAGATATACTTAGACGATACTTAATATCAGTAATTAATAACCAATATTTAGAACAAAACTGGAAAGCTGGCAGCCTAATAATACATCTAAAACATTTTATGCTCTAATTTGGACCTACAAACTGGATACGCCCTTCTTAAAAACCACACGACTAGAAATAATAACAGATGGAAATCAGATGTTTGGAATCTAACAAGAAGAATGTACATGGATGTTAATCTTTGTCTTTTGCTATTTGGTTTGATTATAACAAGTGGATGTTGCTACTATACTGAAGATACAAAAACCTCTATTATTATAGACTTTATAAAAGCTCAAAGAAGTCCTAAAACTGTTTTGGACAATTTATGTTGGAATAAAGGTAGTATTACTAATATTATTATATAACACAGTTTACTGCTAATAAACAATATTTCAGACAAAAATTGTCACTTATCGATACATCAAATTTTGTTGTGTTTTACTATAACTTTAAAATACCCTGTGTCATAATTTCGTTAGCAATTTTTTCTAAAATATGATTTTTCGATCAGAACCATGTCTCCTGAGCATTTTGTTTTTTGGTTCACTTCAATAATAATAATGCCTTGGTTAATTTTTAAGAGCGAAATGAACTTGCCACCAAGAATTTTAAATTTTTTCAAATATCATTTTCTTTGATGTTATTTTTCAATATGACGAGGTGGCTGTGGTGATTATTGTGAACTATACCGGGTGCGTCTCGAAAGTGGCTCACCCTTATAACTTTTTTATTTTTTTCAGATAAAAAAACGAGATTTGGTATGTTAGTGTATGGCATAAATTAGGATTGATTGACGCATTCAATTGTTTCTGGTCACTTCCTGTTTCACCGGAAATGACTGCAACTTTTGATTTTTAAATGGTAATCTCGGTATATTTCTACTTTATTCGATAGAAAATGACACTCTGAATAGCATGACATATCATATGTCAAATTTGACATTTTCGCTTAAAAACAAATCGCACTTTAAATTTTAATCTAGAGTGCCATGGCTGTGTTAAAACACTAATTTTTCAATGTGTATGTATGTATGTAATTTTTCAAGGAGCCTTGTAAAAATAGTTTTGATCGTCTAATGTTTTTTGTATCTTGTCCTGGCCGGTTAAAAGATGCTGAAATTGTATTTTTAATCATATCTCAGTTTTTTCAAATGAACAAGGGTGGCTCATTAGCATATTTGGAAAAAGCATTTTTTTACGAATAATTTAAAACAATTAGCATAATTGGAAAAAGCATTTTTTTACGAATAATTTCCAATACTTGGAATTTTGAATCAAATAGTCGTTATGAACCCCATGTTACAATTTCAAATAAACCATATGCCAAACGTCAAAATTTGACATGAATGATTACAGAATGTCATTTTCTATCGAATAAAGTAAAAATATACCAAGGGTGCCATTTAAAAATCAAAAGTTGTAGTCATTTCCGGTGAAACAGAGAGTAACCAAAAACAATTGAATGCGTCAATCTATCCTAATTTATACCATATATAACATACCAAATCTCGTTTTTTTTATCTGAAAAAATAAAGTTATAGGGGTGAGCCACGTTTGAGACGCACGCGGTATACTACTATGAACTGCCCAGCATGTTCGATAGATCTGAACCCTATAGAATACGTTTGGGAAATGCTTTGGACGAGGGATAAGGGTTGGGCATGTTCGGTGTTCCGATATACCGGTACCAGGACCGGTACTTTTGAAATATTCCGGTATCGGTATCGTCTTTTACAAAACCGGTATACCGGTTTCGGTACCGGTACCGGAAGACCGGTTTAAATCTGTTCCGAAAGACCAGTTTCAATCCGTACTAATAAATTCATGATAATATGCAAATCAAAAAACCTGTATAAAACGATTCATACAGGCAAGAGAACTTTCTATTTACATTTTTAATACGGCATCATGAGGTATAAGCTCACTGGCACAACGACCAAAACTGTTATTTCGGTCTTTCCGATATTCCGGTTCATCCGGTCTTCTGGTCCAAAAGGTCTTTTGATTCATCCGGTCTTTCGGTCTAACCAGTCTTCCGGTCTAACCAGTCTTCCGGTCCAGCCGGTATACCGGTTCAGTATCGGTCCCA